TCTACTTTTTCTTTTTTCTTTCTTAGCATTACAAATTGTGTGGCATGAAAGTCAACATCAATACTCAGTATGAATTTGTCTTGTCGAATCTTTTCCAGCTCTTTCGACCAACCTTCTTTCTCAGTTTCGAATTCTTCTCTTAAGATCTCTATCTCCGATGGAACTATCTGAATTCGTTCCTCCATAGTTATATTCTTACTTTGGTCAGGTAGAGGAATATTTTCATTCTTTCTTATAGACCTCCATTCCTCATAATTTGGCGTCAATATTACCTTGGTTGCATCGGCTCTAGTACAGAAAGTCTTCTTCCATCCTCTAACTGCATCCGAGATGTTTTTCTTATAATTGTTTCCGTAGAATACAAACTCAGATGAGTGCAGTCCAGCAGTGACTGGGATAAATTGATGGCGACCATATTGCCTCATAACCAAAAGTGGTGTGTACCCAATTTCTCCCCATAAACCGAGCAACATCACCCAATTATAGTCACCGCACTTATAGAGGAACTCACTTTGTATTTGCCAAGGGGCGCCCAAACGATATCCTTGTCTTGCATATTCTTAAGGGCATCTATCCACATGTCTTTAGTGACTCCTTTTGGCCAATCTTTCTCTAGAAATTCTCTCAAAGGCGAGTAACTGAACTAAACCGATGATATGAAATTTTTTCAATTTTCTAGAGAAGTGGCTAGATCCAGACTATAGTAATTACTTTAGCTAATTTGATTCTGAAGGGTTGAGTTTTGATGGACTTGGAATAAATCAAATTCTCTTGAGCATCCTCTATGCGCAACAAGGCAATATATTCTTCGATGGTAGGAACCATGTCTTCTTTATTGAAAGTGAAACAGTTGTACCCTGGATTCCAAAATTGAATCAAGGCTCAGATCAACTCATCATCTATATCAACATATAGAAGATAGGAAATATCCCCATAACACTGGTAAAACTGTCGCTTCTTACTCGACTCCCATTTTCCCAAATGTCTCGTAAGTCCTGGATGTCATTTCTTTTAAGAGAAACGGAAGCATAACCCACTAAATCTGACACGTGATCAGCTGGCAAATTGTCCCCTTCCAATCTTTGCAATGCTTCAGCCCACTGTCGAACCTCAGAGTTTTGAACTACTTGATTTAAATACTTTTCGTCCATTATTGAAAGCTTTCCAATTTAACAATTAACTGAAGATCAACACCCTTAATCTTGAATGATGCAATGCAGATAACAAAAAAACACAAAAAAATAAAAATGAATTAGTACAAGTAAGAAAATTGATACAAATAAAAATGTCATTTAAAGATGAATATAACACCTACCCCGTCATGATATCTACCCAAACATGTTATATACCCACAATGATTTTTCAATAAATTAATCCTAACCACATGGTATCTAGTTCGCATGCTGTTATTAAACAATATTTAAAGCAAAAAGAAAAAGGTTTAGAAACGCTCCTCCTTTGTGTACACCTATTTTGGGTACCTACTGACAGACATAGGTTCGATATATCTATACCTAAGGTGATCGTTCTACGGTTCACTATATGCGTGGTTCCGTTTCTAACAGAAAAAGGTACTCGAATTATCCTTGATGTTAGTGCCCCCTTGGGCTGCCAAACCCTCAATCCTCACCCATTATAGGCTTAAACGGATTGAGTTCAATTCAAGAGGATACATTCCCTTATGTCTATGAGGAGAATAAATTCTCACAAAAACATAAGGTATATGAATCCCGAAGGTTACTTGCTAGGCCTGCACATAGAATAAATTCTCACGAAGGCGTCACTTTCGCCCCCACTTAGAAAGGTTCGGAGCTCGGGTATAGAGCTTATGTTATGCAAATGCTCGTGACGTATGTGAGGAGGAACATTCAACCCTTTGACTCAAAAGGAAAATGACACCATTCAACAAAACTTTGGACAAATTTGAAAACAAAGATAAAAATGTTAGTAAGACGATAATAAAATGAAGCAATTAAAAACTTCAACAAAAGGATCATAATTTAACTAAAGACTCGAACTAATAATTTCTACCAAACGACAATGTGTAAGCGACTTACATACTGACTCTCTAAAAAATAAATTTTCCCAGCGGAGTCGCCAAGCTGTCGTAACCGTTTTTCGGTAGGGACAATCGTTTAATTGTTTTAAAAACAAGTTACAACTTTTTATTTTGGAAAATGGGTGATTTTGGAGTAATTTGAAATAAATTGAAAAGAATTAAAAAGAGTCGCCATCAACCTTTGGGTTAGGTAGGTCGAATACCTAAAAACGTCTTTTAAAAATAATTTTTAGAAAAATAATTTTTAAGACAAAAGTTGGTCTACGTTTACCAAAGATTCGATTAAAACGGGTTCGGGAGTCGGTTACACGTGAGGAAAGATTAGCACCCCCACAGCGCCCAAAATTGGTACTGTGTCACTTACACGTTGTCGTAAATGGTGAAAATCCTGAATCAAATATCAAGTTAAAATATGATCCTTTTATTGGAATTTAATTAATTTACTTCAGATTAATAACTTAAAAAAAATAAAATAAGTAGTTAAACTTATAAGAACTAAAATGCAACAAATCAAAAACTTGGAGTCTAAATTGCAATTAAACCAAATTAAAACAATGACTAAAACATGTAATAATGTCGAGTTATGCACATGAAGATATCATACAAAAATTAACTAAATAAAACAAATGATTATTTAACTCATGAAAATTACCATGACATTCTAATACAAAAATTATATAATTAAATAAAATAAATGATTATTTAACTCATGAAAATTACCATGACATTCTAATACAAAAAATTATAGCATTTATTATATAACTATATATTATATAGATTACCATAAATAAGTTTTAAACTTTTGAACCATAACTAATACTCAATATTAAAATATAAAGATTTAATTCGATCTAGGATACACAAATATGTAAGGTACTATATGAATTTATTAATTAATCATATATACATACTATCATACATGTACATATATGAAGTAATGGACCACTATACTTATTAAATAAATGATATAAAGAATATAAAGTAAATACAAATATGCATCTAATATAAAAAAATATATTAAAATTCATGCATGGGCTAATTAAATATAATATACTCCAATAATTTAATATATATATCCAACTAAGCTATACGTTAAACAAATAAAATAATATATATATATATATATATATATAATATATATATATATATCCAACTAAGCTATACGTTAGACAAATAAAATATGGCTATTCTTCCTAAGACACGTTAAACAAATATATATATATGAACAAATAATCAATTTCCAAGGTAAGTGTACAAGTGAGCTAAAAAATTAATTATTCCAAATATTTTAATATAAAATCTAACTTTAGCCTAAACCTAATACTTAAACTAAACTACCCACCTGTTTTCAACTTCAAAGAAATCTCAACTCTCTCTTCTACTTCCCATACCCGAGAAGCTCAAGGTTAACACTCACAACGTCGGCAGCTTCTCCGAAGGATGTTCCTTGCTCCGACCACATACCACGTTAACCAGGTAAGACTTGTTAAACCCTTCCCTATTTCTTAAACGACGATGCTCTCATCCACGATGACTCCCATCTTTTTCAGCAAAGACCCAAACACCATAAGGTAAACTAAATTGAAACTATATTTCACTCTTTATTTTATATTTTTATTTTACTTTAATCTAATCCTCTCATCCGAATCCTTTTAAAATCTACTCAAGACTCACTGTTTCAGAACTGACCACCTAGTCCCTTAAAGATGAGGACAATCACTCCGACAGTTAAAGCTCACAACACTAAGGTAAAATCTCTTTCCTCCCTTTTCAATTATTTTTTTTATTTTGAAACACACATGCACACAGAGAGAAAAAGGGAAAATGAAAACAATAAAAAAAATACCTTGAACCCAAATTGTATTTCTATTGCTTTTGATTTTTTTTTTTTTTTTGAATACAAAAGTGAGATTCTTGCTACAATGGTTTTCTGTAGGCTTTTCGAAGGGTGAATGAAAATTCTCCTTGTCTCCTTTGCTTTTATGTTGAAAACCAAGACCTCTCTATCGTTTTATCGTTGGTGAAAATTTCTCGTTTTTTTCTTTGTCTCTCGCTTCCCCTGATAATTTTTTTTTCTCACCACATGTTCCTCCCTCCCCCCTTCTTTGCTTGATTCCTCTTCGATTTTATTGTTGAAATCTTCACCGAATCTCATTGGATGCATCTGCATTTTCTTTGCGTTTGGTATGATGTTGATGGGTTAGGTGAAATCATTAATTTTGCTTGACTTTGGTGCATGTGACTTGATGAATTCGATTGAAATGGCCCGAGCTGTCGGTGATGATAAGATCTTGTCGTTGACACAAAGGCTAATTGGAGTTGGCGGTGTGGGCAGTGAGTGTATATTATGGACTTATAATTGTCACTTGTTGGCCTGCATAAAATATAAATAAAATGATATTAGTAATAATAATAATAATAATAATAATATAGTATATATATTTTAATCCCAATAAAAAAAAATGGGTGTCTACATGCATCAAAACATACAACAAATATATGTTGAGATAACATTGATCTCAAGTCTAAGGATCATACATATAGTCATCACTATGACCAATGTTATAACTGTCACATAATAATCCAAGACATATGCTCGTAGTGGGTCAATCCAATACATTGGTCTCTAACAATATAATCATGTATCAATTCTGACATCTCTATGGCAATGACAAATCATTGTTATCAATCAATAACATGTTAGTCTTAAACGTATTATTATTGTTCATGTTCATAATAATACTTGACTAGGAATCTTTTAATAATAACAATTAAGGTATTATATGGATTTTATTATCTTTCAATTTATATTAAACACATATTTTTTTGAATAAAAATAATAGGGGCAATGCCTTTATTTAATAAAATCGGTAAATAAAATATATAATTACAATCATCATATGATTGGTCTTTGGGCATACTCTAATAATTCTGGCATGAATGGAGGTGATCCCGGTGGATATCCATAACCATAAGGCGGAGGAGCCTGCAGCCACTTTCCTTGTTGAGGTCCAAATTGTCCAGGTGGATATTGTCCGGGAGGATATTGGCCGTATGGCGGTTATTGTGCAGGTGGAACTCCAATTGGTTGTCGTATATTCGGAGGCACTGGCTGGTCGAACCGTGACATCTGCTGCGTTTCAGGAACCATCATCATAGCAGACGCACCGCCGCCTGGCATGCCGTGCCTGTAGTCGATTTCAACCTTGTGCTGAGTCTGCATACAAGCGCAGACCCTGAAGGGGAAAACAGATCAAAACACGATGGATTAAGTTCAGAATAAGGCATTTATAAGGGTGCATTTAAATGAATGAATCAATGAATGTCTCACGTGCAATAAACCATGTCCGAAATGCAGGTCAATAACTCTGCTAAGTCCTCAAGTTCGTCATCTCCGGTAAGAGAAGCTAGCAAACGACATATGCATGCAATTTGTCCAAGAATGATCATAAATGACTACAAATTACGTTGATAAATAATCATTAGAATGAAAAATCCAAGCCAAATGAATCCAATTAGGAATAGACATAAGTAGATTACAATGAGGCAGTTGTCACATTCAGTGGTCTGTATATTGTACTCATCTTGAAGAAGGAAGCGAGTCGACGCAACTGAGTTGCCGAGGCAAAGCATGACCTAAAACAAATGGAAATGGAACAACCAGACTCGCTAATTTGTGCATCTTAAATCCATAAGACGTGAAAGAGATGATAAAAGGGTTGTAAATATGACCTCCAAGCAGAGACAGAACTCTGGACACTTGTCTTCTTGACACTTACCGCTGCAAGGCATGTAACCAGCACAGCACTCGTACCTACAACAATATTTAACATATGCATCAGTCCCAAACCAAAATTCAGTTCTAATTTCATGTTTAGATGACATGAAAGCCCTTTTTACCTTGACATTTCATTGTGGAGTGCTCGTTTCCGCAGGTCAAATGAAACACACTGGGAGCTTGATTTCAGGAAACATGAAGAGAGAGTAAATTAAATTTCATGACTTTAACGAGTGGCTGCTTCAGAAATATTTGATTTCATTGTTCACCCTAAAGAATGCATGGATCTGCCCAGGCTTCAACTTAATTTTTTTAGCATGAGAACAAATTAATTTATTTCCTATCATGACAAATATGAATTCAAACAAATTCATCACAGACGCAACGAGGACCATGTTTATCATGTAACAGGTCACCAGAACCTTGAATTTGAAGACCCACGTATGAATGTTATTCAGGTTAATCTATGTATCTAATGGACTGAAGAGGGCGGTGGGGCAGTCCCCTCTTAGAATTTTAAAATTATCATATATTTTATATCTTTTTATATATTTCTATTGAAAAATCTATTTTTGCCTGCCTCATATTTTATAAATGTGTCCCCTTCTAAAATTTTAGAGGTTCGCCCCAACATAAAATTTTACGTCTGTCCTTACATGTACAACTTTTGAGCTCTAACGACATTTTCGTTAAAGGGAAAACAAATTTTCCGTTTGATTCTTGGGAAAATGGAAAACCAAGTTCCAAACGAAAATTTTGACAGTTTCTTTAATTATTTTCTATAATGAATTTTGGTATTAAAAAAAAGCATCGTAGATCTATCATAATTCAAATTTAACAAATTAATTCTTATTATAAAATATTTTAAGGATCTCATTTTAAAATGTAGCCCAAGATAAATAGTGTTGAAATTTACGAATAAATTGATTTAATTTTTCTAAAACATAAAGATAAATCAAGAGTAGAAAATTACTTGGAAAGGGATAAAATGAGAAATAGAATAAGAGAATATCAATGTTGGCCATAAAAACTCACCAGCACGCGGCAAGCATGCAGACTGCATATTCAAGGAAAAGGAAAACGCAATCAGATATATTTAAGAAGCAAAAGAAGTTTAAGATTCAAATCTAGCATGCACGATCGTTTTAACATCCCTAAATTACAATTTCCTATGTATAATATATGATCTTGAATGATACTATATTATATTTCCTGCTTGTTTCAAAACAGAGGACGAAGAATTCATTCATTTACTAGCTCTGCCATCTATTTTCTAGGGGACCAAACAGAAAAAGAACAAAGAGAAAATAGAGGAAAGAGTTGAAATGTTTACATGCACAATCTGCTTTGACGGCGTCCAAGAGAGAAGTTTGCCATTCATTCATATAGCCCTTACGGACAGCCATCTTTTCACCCCTTTCGGCGATATTCATTGTTTCGAGAATTCAAATTCACACGCTAAATACGAAAAAGCCAAAAAAAATTAAAAGATATCTGCAAAGAAAATACAATGTACAAAGAGATCTAAACGGCGTTCCCGGATGAGTTTTCGCCTTTTCGATCTTGATTTTGTTTTATTGCGGTTGTTATGAAAGATCGAACCAAAACCGCAAAACAACGGCCGGAACTCAATGTTACGGCCGCTATTCAAATCCCGTCGATAAGAAATTGAAAACCACACCGGTAATGCAGCAACGCTGTCTGTTCGCAGATGGACTATATATGCAGAAAAAAATTGGGAGTGGAATTAAAGAGAAACCAAGGGATAGGAGAAATGCAACTGGCGGAAAACAAGAGGTGCAAGTGAAAAAGAATACCGTTTTAAACGGAATCATCCAATCTTCACACCAATATTCCTAATTCAGAGATCCTGTGCTATTCTTTTATGGGTAAACCACCTATTATTAGTTAAATCACATTTCAATCACGGGATCTAAATGAATTATTTTTTGAGTTAATTGCATCATATGTCCTCAAACTATGATTCTCATTCTAAATTAGTCCCTAAACTTTTAAATATTTTAATTTTATCCTAAAACTATTTTACTCATTCTAAATTAGTCCTTAAACTTCTAAACATTCCAATTTCATCCTCAAACTATGACCCTCATTCTAAATTGGGCTTCAAACTTTTAAATCTTTCAATTTTATCCCCAAATTCATACAAATATGTAATTAGTTTTAACCATAGTTTAACCTAAACATTATTTTTTTTCAAACATATAATAATATAGATTGGCCTAACGATTTTATTAAAATGGAATGCGATTAGTATATACATATAATTTGGGATGAAATTAAAATGTTGAAAAAGTTTGAGGACTAATTTAGAATGAAGGATATAGTTTGGGGATGAATATAAAATGTTTAAAAGTTTGAGGATAAATTTAGAATGATAATCATATTTTAGGGATGAAATTGAAGTATTTAAAAGTTTATGAATAAATTTAAAAAGAGTATCATAATTTGAGGATGTATGATGCAATTAACATTTCTTATGACTAATTATTTTATTCAATGTATCCTTAATTTCTGAAAGAAGGATGATATGGTCTTTAAACTACACTCAAAATGTAACATTCTATACCCTGTCACGACGAGTGACCCAAATAATCTGAGTGTCACACTAGACTTGGAAGCAAATTAGACACGTGCAAAATCCTAGTTATTACTAAGTGACAAACAATGAGTTTAAACAAACAATCATTCTCGTACAAGAAACGGAGAAACTAAATATCATACGGATTTAATTACCAACCAATCATGCCTTTAAAAGTAATCAAATCAACAAATTAAAGATTCTAAGGTAAATGGGTCATTCCATAACACATACGAGAAAATTGAAATAAATTTAAAGAATTGATCGAGTTATTAGTCATTACCAAATATAAATTAGTCATGGTTAAATTTTAGAGAAAACAAACTTCAATTAGACACTCAATTGGACATGCTCGATTTAGGTACCAAACCATAAATAATTCAAAACATGAATTTCAATAGTAAACATCAAATTTAAAGGTTAATTATGTACTTATGTTCTTTATAGAGTGATAGAAAAAATACCAAATAATTCGGACTTAAAATAAAGTATTAATTAAGAAATCAAGTTTTGGACCAATTTGAATTCATTTGAAGGTTTATGGGTCATCCCGAGACTTAGGGGACACACTAAAGGTCTTTAGTGAATGTAACTTTACCATTTTACATGATTTTAACCTCAAGAGATTGATCATTTTTCACGGTTCTTAAAATACAAAAATATATTGAAGTATTCTTGTTCATTTATCATCTTGTTGATACCATCTCTTAGTCTCTATTCTGAATCTTTAACATGCTATTAATCGCCACTAGATCGTAAATTTTCTATGTATGCATCATTCAATCATCTTCTTCATGTTATTTTATCGTAGTCTAGGTATCAATTATATTGATCCAATCATGGTGCAATCAGTAGTAATTTTAGAAATTCCTGATGCGAGAAAATTGTTGACACCAATTCAAATGCATTTCTAAAAGAGAATCAATGTATGTTTGACTGATTCGAACTATTTTCTGTGGAAACAAGTGATACTCACAATTCGAGAGCTTGGACTTGAAGGTTTTCTTGATGGATCCATTCCAGATCCAAAAAAATTGGCACTTAACAGAGTTGGTGAGTAGATTGTTAATCCAACCTATCTAGGCTATGTCAAGCAAGATAGCTCGTTGGCCTCATGGCTCCTTTCAACGGTTAGTCCCAATATTTTGCCTCAGTTGGTTGGTGTTGAATCTATGGCAACAATATGGAATGATATCACTAGGTTATACTATAAACTTTCTACCAAAAAGATAATGACATTACATTGTCGCTATAACATCCCATACCCGGTCAAGAAGGATGACCTGGATATCTGAGTGTACATTAGATTTTGAGACAAGTTGGACAGAACAAAAACTCTAATAATGTAAACTAAGCAGAAATGATTAAAAATAAACATTCATCATGCAATACACATCGAGTTATCACATAGTGAATGAGTTATCACATAATCAAGTTCACGACACCTTTAAAATCATGCATCTCAATATAAATGTCACTAACAATATAGGGGTAAAATAGTCATTTCACACGTCACCATTCAAAAGAAATTAAAACATTAATTTAAACTGACAAATATTCATTATTAATCATTAATTAGTGACATGCAAAATTTTAGCTTAAAAGGAAATCAAACAGGGACCTAATTGAACATGCAAGTCTATGGACCACAATGTAAACGATTCAAAAGCTACAAACGTACATAAAATATGCAATTAACATTCCCATTATAAAACTTAGTTTATTAGAGAGTGAAAAAATAGATCTCATCAAATTTTGAGTTAAGGCCAAGTATTAATTTAGTAATTCAATTTCTGGACCATTTTGAAACTGACAAATATTCATTATTAATCATTAATTAGTGACATGCAAAATTTTAGCTTAAAAGGAAATCAAACAGGGACCTAATTGAACATGCAAGTCTATGGACCACAATGTAAACGATTCAAAAGCTACAAACGTACATAAAATATGCAATTAACATTCCCATTATAAAACTTAGTTTATTAGAGAGTGAAAAAATAGATCTCATCAAATTTTGAGTTAAGGCCAAGTATTAATTTAGTAATTCAATTTCTGGACCATTTTGAACTTACACTAACATTTTGGGGTTAAACTAAGACATAGGAATACTTATGACCTTTAATGAATGCAATTTTACCATTTTTTCACGTTTTAAACCTTAAGGGATCGATCCCTTTCCACGGGGGATCGATCCTTTTCAAAATAGTAGCTAAACTTCCAAAAGGGATCGATCATTTTTCCTGAAAATGCATAAAATTCTTATGAACATACAGGAACAAGCCACCAAACTTCCATTCAATCGATCTTAGTGATTAGATACATGATTGGACACACTCATACCACTTCATACATATCAGAATTCACATGCAGCATAAAATCGGTTAACACATCATGTAAGAATTTAGCATCCAAAGTCAAACAGTGGATACTAAGCTCACTTTAGTGCAATTCACCTATTCAAATCATGCATTTTGGTTCATTTCATGAAACCTATAAGCCTAACATATTATGTACACATAATGTCACTTGTCTAAGCACACCAAACACTTTTTTAAGGCACATAACTACATTTGAACATTCTAGGCAACTTAGGAACTATGAACACTTATTCACGTCATCGTTAAAGATCAATATCATGCACTTATTCAAAAGATTCAAGGTATCTATAAGTCACATTATAGGTCTATTGAGCATTAGAAAATAAGTGAAGAAATATTTCAACATACATCCCGATTTAAGGATCCCATATTGCCTTAAAACAAATCAAAATTCAAGATAATTTTACAAATGCTTCCTTGCTTTGATCACCACCAAGTGTCTTGCTTCTGAAGCTCCCAAATCAGAAAGTAATGATCTGAAAAATCTTAAAAAATGAGTGTGAGCTATAAAGCTCATTGAATGACCAAACATTCAAATATGATGCATATGGCAAGGCTAAAGGAAAACATACCTAAATGACATGAAACTTCACATACTTCTCGTATTTTACCTTCTTTTTCCTAGCCCCGTGTACCTTTCCATGTTGATTTTGTACATTCTTCATTCTGCTTGTTCTTCTCTCCAACTCCCTAAGAATAAAATTGGTTGTGATTTAAATTGTGATTGCCTCATGTTTATGGTGATTGTGGATGTTATCATGATTGATTATGGTATGTATTAAGATGAATACGCATAAGTGAGTTAGTGAGTGAGAGAGCTGGAACCAAAAATAAGTGACCTGTTGACATTTTTAGATCACCTCAGTGTGATTTTGAAACTTTCACATTAAGATCTTTTGATTGACTTTATTTATTTGCTAATGATGTTCATTACAGAATGACAAAACATGAAGATATGTCGTACCAACTCATCTGAAAGTCCATCGGCATGTTCTTCCCCACTAAAATGTAGATAAAGGGGTTGTCCCACTGCCAATAGTGTCGTCTCAATATCAAGAAAGCCAACTTGCACCATCCTTTTCAAAACTCTGGCCTAGAAGGTCTTGCCACTATTATAAAGACAAAGCCAACTTTAAGCTTATCGTTTTTCCCTTTTCGTCTTTCATGGGGTTACAAGATTTAGAAACGGAGAATTTAAGATGATTACGAAAGGGATAGTCTAAAACCTTGTATGATACCTGAGTGGTGAGTGCTGGTAAGTCCAGTAAGCATTGTAGACTCAGCTAAGCTCAGGAGAAATGGATGCTTCCCAAAATAGAATTTTGATGTTGATTCAATACTATTAATACCATGTCCCCAGTATATCTATAATTTACAATGGCCTTTTCAGATTCCAGGTTTCAAGATCATTGAATCACAAAACAAAGGGCTATAGTACTATTACTTTGCTTTCATCTATCATTCCGAAATTCCAGGAGAGTGAATGTGAAATAGCAGAATCCATTCAATAAAAATATTGGGCAAGAAGAAAGCATATGCATGAGCATCAAAGAGAAAAGGCATCAATCATCAAAATAAATGAGACATGTGATTGACCATACAAACATAAGAGCTTAATATTCTTTGCTTTGACATTGTCCTTTCTAACACCAGAGCTAGCACCGTCTCCAAGATCTTTCTCGAGAATGTGCGCTCATTTTTCAGGAAAGTGTTCTTCACAAGCTGCAAGGTGAGAGTTGTGAAGAATCATCACACATAACAATTAGAAGATATATAATAAGAAAAACTCCAAATGTTTGTTGAATTAAATAGCTTTCCAGTATTTGCAAAGTAGAAGATGGTCAAATTCCAAAATACCAGTTGATATATAAGGATTGGATTTAGGAAACAACATGAAGTCAAGAGGATAAGCAAAAGAGAATTATCATATCAACAATCAAAATGTCACTCAAACTAAGTAAATAAATAGATATAATTCCATTCTACATTATAGTTGTAATGTCATATTAGTTGATTGACACATCCGAAGAATACTACATTCCAATAATTTTATAAAGCTTGGAGGCAAAGTTAACATCATCATTTGTGTGTTATAGAGCAACATTTGGCAGTGTGTATGCAACTTTCGACGGTCCTAACACTATCGATCTAACAAACAATAACATAAAGTTCAAAAGGATTAAAAAAGAAAGGAGGCAAAATGGGCATCTAATTTCCATGTGATATTAATATCTACTGAAGTAAATAATCTGCACGAAGCGAATTACATACAGCCAAAATCATCAACCTGACATGGACTAGTTCTCTTCATAATTAATGACACCTATATGACTAAAGAAACTATTGTTACTAAAGCAACAACTTAATACTAAAACTCAAACTTTTGACTAATTTAAATTATACTCTGCTACCCAGAAGTTGAAAATAATGGAACAGAAAAAAGACGAGAAAAATAACCCCATACGAACAATCCCACTAGTTTACTGATGTCTTTCCAGTCTACCCTAATTTGCAGTTTCTTTATTCCAAAATCATCAATCTGACTTGTACTACTGCACTTCATAAGTCCCTCAACACCTATATAATTAATGAAACTCTTGTTACCAAAGCAACAAATTAGCATAAAAACTCGAACTTCAACTTCAGAATAGAATACTCTTTTCTTTTCTTTTCTTTTTCCTTTTTTTTTTTGAGAAATTCATAATATAATACTTGAATCATGTAAAAGGGATGAAATATTTTAAGGATGGAGAATGTTAACTTAGAGTCAAATGCGTGTTTAGCCATTCACATGTAAAGAAACCCAAATTCAAGAAAGAAGGCAAAAAAACGGATTCAATGAAGCAATGCTCACAATTTGAAAGTACTAAACACAAAAAATAAAAACGTACTTAATTGGGCAAAAACATCAAACGTGTCGTGTACATAAAAAAAAGATTCAATTAAGAAAACAGCCCCAACCTGCTGAGTTATGGTGCTACCACCCCCACGAAGCCGAAAGCGACAAAACAGCTCGAACAATCCCAACTGGTTCGATTCCAAAATGCCTAAAGAAGCGACGATCCTCATAAGCTACGATGGCTCGCCATAGATGTTTTGGATAAAATTTGGTCCGAGCTTAAGATTCACGAGAGAAGGCGTTGCCAACGAAGAGGGAAATCAGACAAAAGGGCATTGGACAAAAGACGGCAACACAAAAGGGTCAATGAGAAAGCAAGGAGGAGGAGGAGTTCTTGAATGGGGGTCCGAATGGACGGGGACTTTGAGTGGAGTGAGTTGACTCGTAGGCAAAGCAACGAATTGAAGAGAGTCGGAGAGTTGGGAGAATAAAAAATCAAGGTTTTACCGAAGAGATTTTGTGGGTTTTTAGAGGAGAATTTGGGGGTTTTGCCGTGAATCATCATTTTGTGAGTAGCAGCAACAGCTGCTGCCAGCCCCATTTTCTCGTTTCTCTTTTCCTTCTCCATTAATTGTGTAATACAACTGATAATAACATTGAAGCAACGGGCAAAATACAGTTACATAATTTTAACTATTTATTTTAATTTGATTTTTGTTTTATTTTCAGTTTTTTTTATTAATTTTAAGTTTTTATTTTAAATATAATTTTATTTTATATTTTGTTACATAACTTGATACAAGTTTAAAGTATTTTTCATAATTTTTATTTAAAATTATGTTTAAATAACAATTAATAATTTTATATAATATCTAAGCTATTTTCACTATTTGAGATATAAAATATTTATTATTGTATTATAAAAAATAAAAATTAACTAACTTCAATAACCATGGTTTTCACACTTATGGTTTTTCTCACGTATGAATCAATATTGTAGTCTCTAGTAGATAAAAATATTATTTTTTTAATGTATAAAATCTATTTTTTTAATAATACAAAATTAGATATTATTTTTAATAATTTTATTTTTATAATAATATCATTTTGCCTTATACAATTATAAAATGATTAGTATATTAAATATTTAAAATATAAAATATTTTTTAGTACTCAAATTTATTAATATTTTACTAAATTAAACTCGTTGTTTATTATTTTTATTATTTTTTATAATTTTGAGTAAAATAAAAAAAATAAGAATTGAGAATGATCCATATGAAAATAATTCATTATTTTAGGAGTATTCTTATCCAAATGCGAGAAATTTTGTAAAAACTAAGAATTTGAAAGTAATATTAATCCCACCATTTAATAAAAATGTTAATTTTGGTAATAAGTTATTACCCGATAATAAGTCCGTCTATTAACAAGTGTAGTTTGTGATACGTCACAGAGTTTCAACATTTAGGGACCCCACACTTCTAAAAAAATTGTTAACCTAGAAAATATTATTTTTTTCATGACAAAATTTAACAAAAAAACTCTTCTAATTTTCTCTCTTGTTATCTCAATAATTCAATTATAATCATTTTTCTTTAAAAAATATTAAATTTAGGGTGTTTAATGGACAAAAAATTTATGTAAATCCTCTTTTCAATCTTCTTAAATTTTAAAATATTAAAATTTTCCTTATTATAAAATATTTTAGGAATCCTACTTTAGAAAAATAACAAATGACATACATATCTTTTGGGACGAGTCTGTTTGATAATGGTCTTTTCCGCAAACCAAATGTGAGAATACAATTGTAAAAAAAATTATTCTCCTCGATAATAATATTTTATGCGAATCAAACACCCCCTAAATTCTTAAATTTCCCATACTCAACTCTCTAACCTCACCTCTTAAATTTTAAAATCAGTTTCAATGAGCTAAAGTTTCGTTTCTCCCTCATTCATGGATGCAAGACGAAAATAGAGCAAGAAAAGCCACTAGAAACGAAGGCATCCAGCGCTGATGAGTTGCAAAATAATTTGGGTTTTTCTTAAGAAAATTAGAAAAAAATTATTTTTTTAAATAATATTAATTTTAAGTTTTTAAAATAAAATTTTCAAAAATTTATAAACTTAGTATATGTCATGTTTTAAATGGTTGACATTTTTTTTCAATGATTGTGACGAACTAGATATTTAAAATGGCAATATCAAAAATGTTAAAAACCTACATTAATAAAAATAAAATAAAATTTAGACACAAGGTAAATTCTCATGTTTGTGTCTTATAAAAAGAACTAACAGCGTGTCCCTCCGCATTCTATCAAGTGGTCGTGCAAACAATCATGAGAGAGTAAATAGTTTAAGCATTTTTTTCTATTAAATCTAAGATATATTAATAGTTTCTAAAATATTGTTATAATATTATTAAATATATTAATAAACTATTAACAATATTAAACAATATTTTATACATTATTAATATACTAAAATATTGTTATAATATTATTAAATATATTAATAAACTATTAACAATATTAAACAATATTTTATACATTATTAATATATTTAATAATATTATTAATAATTTATTATATACAATAAACTATTAATAATATTAAATGATATTATATATTTACATAATTTAATAAATTATTAATATAGTTAATAATGTTAATTATTTTTATAAAAATATTATTTAATATTTGAAATATATTTTTATATTATTAAAATAAAAATGTAATGTTAATATTACTTAAAATAAAAGGGTGAACTACAACACTTGTTCTTTTGTTTTTGGTTCGTCTATCATCACTTTAAAAAAGTGTGCTATCTTTGATTTTATAAGATTTTGATAGTGCAAAACAAGCGATCTTGATGTTAAAAGAATTGTTGTTATTTTTTGGGTTTTAAGTTCGAGTACTATAAATGTTAGGGATGTAAATATTTCAATGTCTAATGGTTGAGAGTATTCTTTGAACAATTATTGTCTTGTAATTATTCCATATTAATTCAAAAAAAAAATTGATATAACAAAAATTAAGATTGAGAAAACTCCCGTAAATCATTTAAATACTTTATTATTTATTTTTTAATTTTTAAATAAATTTTATAAAATAAATTTTTTTTACTTATAACATATCAGATGATAATCTTATATATATATAACTGATGATTTTCTAAAATATGGTTTAAATCAAAAATATAAAACAGGTATTTTTTTCACATATTATTACTAAAACTAAAATAATTAAATTCTTCACTGTTTTCTTAGAAGAAACCATTGCATTCAAATTTAAGAAATAAATAATACTTATATTTGATGTATTAATTTACGTTTAGAGTTAATTGCATCACATGTCTTCAATGTATAACAGTTATTTTAAATTGGTCCCTAAAATTTTAAATTTTTCAATTTGACTCTTAAACTATGACTATCATTCTAAATTAGTCCTTAAACTTTTGGAAATTTCAATTTTATCCCCAAACTATGACCTTCATTCTAAATTGATCTCTAAACTTTTTGAATATTCCAATTTCACCCCAAACTATACGCATATACTAATCACATCTCTTGTTAATAAAACTGTTAGACCAAGTTATATTATTATATGTTTGAAAAAAAAAACAAAATTTAGATTAAATTATAGTTGAAATTGATTACATATTTGGATGAATTTAGGGATGAAATTGGAATATTCAAAAGTTTAGGGACTAATTTAGAAATATGGTCATAGTTTAGGGATGAAATTAGAATGTTTAACAGTTTAAGGGCTAATTTAGAATGAAATTGCAATTTAAGGATGAAATTAGAATATTCAAAAGTTTAAAGACTATTTTAAAATGAGAATTATAATTTGAGGACATATGATACAATTAACTCTTTATGTTTATAAATTTGAAGTGGGAATATGTATATAAACATTCTAAAACCCTTTTTAGATATCAGTTAAATTTGACGCCCAGAATTAAAGTCATAAAAAATAATCTAATTGAATTAGGAATATATTCTATATAGATAGATGCAATATTTTATATTTGATTGAACCCTTATAAATTGTTAATGATATGACGTCATTTAACATTTTTGAAAGGTATTTTACTTTTGGGTAAAGTACACAAATGGTCCCCGACTATAGGGTATTGTTAGGTGAGTACCCGATTATTAAAAGTTATAAAATAGTCCATCGACTATAGTGCATTGGTTTATTTAGTCCCCTGATTATTAAAAATTATAAAATGATCTCTCGATTATTCATATATTTCAAATCGTCATTTGCTGTTAAAAATTTGATAGCAGTGCTATGATAAAATTCGATCCCAAAATCTTAAATAACTATTATATCCCAATCAATAGGTTAAAGTTCAACTCAGATTGTCGTCAAATTTTTAACAGAAAAGGATGAGTTTAGAACATATGAATAGTTATAGAACCATTTTGTAACTTTTAATAGTTGGTGGACACAACAAAGTAATGCCCTATAGTCAGATGACCATTTTATAACTTTTAATAGTTGGAAAACTCAACAAAACAATATCCTATAGTCAGGGGACCATTTGTGTGCTTTACCCTTTACTTTTATATTACACAAATTTAGGGATTTTAGATGGGGTAAATACTCATTCATCATTGAACATTACTCTCTCTCCCACTTTACTAACTATATTTTTAATTTATTCATTGAACTTTCAAATTGCTCATGTTTTGGTCACTACAAATTATTTTATTATTATTATTCTATGACATGGAATTTTTCATTATCATTAAATATAAAAATAATTTAAAATAAATAATAAAATAATATTTTTATTATTATTAAATTTAAAAATATTTAAAATAATCATAGTTCTTTTCTCGTCATCGTCGACCTTCGGAACTAGTAGTCGTTTAATCTCAAATTGTATCGAGAGACTTTCTTTGACACGCCGAGCATTAATATGGTGGTTGTTTCATTGAAAAATATCCCAAAACCTCTGAATCTTAACTAAAACATTTCCATTTCCTCACTTTTAATCTCATATTCATGGAATTTGGAGCATGTTTCGACAAAATAATGTCAGATTCAGACTCAGGGGGTCGAGGCGAAGCGGCCCATTAAATCTGGGACCATAAAAACCACCATATATGACAGTTGACGTTTTAATTTCCTCACTTTTGATCAAATTCAGAGCATGTTCCGAAAAAATTGAGGTTGAATTCAAACTCATGGGATTAAGACGAAGCAACCGATAAAAATATAGGATCGAACAACCACCATCTACGACTGTCGACGGTGACGTCCAACGACGATGAACAATAAACAGTCACCATATGATTTTAATTTATATTAAATAATAATAAGAAATGTCATATCACATCAAATTAATAATAAAATAATATAGAGCGACCGAAGTATTAATTCAAAAATTTAGTGAATAAATTAAAAAAATAAAAATATAATGAGTAAAAAAAAGGAGAAAAATATATGAATACTATAGTTTATCCTTTAGATAGTTTCAAAGAATTTTAAATAAATAAATTATGAGAAAGAGAACTTGGAGGAGCTCAGACTGTTTAAGGACAGACATCCAAACAAAAAAGAAAAAGAAAAGAAGAAATATTTCCGGGAAACCTCTTCCTCACCTTCTTTGCGCTCTTCCAAGGTTAGAATTCTCCTCCTCTCTTCTCATCTCCGCCCCCCCCCCCCGCTTCTTCCAAAGGTTAAATCTTTACTATTCTTTTTTCTCTTCACTGATGAAATCGTTTTTTATTCCTTCAAAATAATTTCCTTCTTTTGTTTTCCCTCCTTTACATATAACTTTCCCCTTTTCCTAGTATTTATGTAATTTGATATGACCTCTTTTTTTCGTTGCTTGTTGTTTTTCTAGTTAATTTTTGATTAATTTCCTAGTTTTCAGTCTTAAATGTTTCTGCGTTTGTTTTTTTTCTTCTTCTAACTTTAAGTTGTCCTACTTAGCTTCAAACAACCTATCTAAATTATTTTTATTAAAAAAATTCCTAAGGCACGAAATTCATGTGTGTGTGCGTGTTTGTGCTTGTGATGTTTGCAATTTTTGTTCTTTAGAGTCTGCCTTTTGTTCCATTTTGGGATAAGCTGGGCATCTGGCACTAAGAGGCTAAATTTCATGTTTTTCAGCTTATAATCAGATGGATTTAGCATGAATTGCTAGAATTTCGCTGACGAATTTCCTCCCAGAGGCACTAAAAGACATTGGATAACTTGGCCTCTTGATTTTTGCTTATGTGGCATTATTTTCTAGCTGTATGTTTTCTTTCCCAAGTTGTAGATAGCCTAGCCTGCGAATGCATAGTCCTGTGCTATATAAGCTGTAAGCTAGTACTGCATGCACCGGTTCTTTCCGTTGAGCTTCCAACTTGTTATCCCCAGCTAACCCAAGACTGTGTATGCAAATTTATAATTCTGTGAAGTGTTCCCTGTTTTGTCTTAACTTTTAAGTTGGTTTCTTTAACCCTTTGCTTTGAACCTATTATATTCTACTTATCCACTGATGTCAAATGACAGGGAAAATGCGCCAAGCTCCGTTTGCGTTGGTTTAATGAGAAGATAATTGTGGGAAATGGGAGGCTGCTGTTGTTCTTCCAGGAAACCTCTTCTGCATGGGACACCTGTGTATTACTATGTTAGTAATATGTTCATCTTATGAATATTTCTAATGTTTGTAGTATCATATGTTACTTTTTCTTTCTTCATAGTAGAGAGCTAGAAGTTGATTTTTAGGAATATTGGAAGTACACATTTTCCACTAACCATAATTAACAGATGGAAAAAAGGGAATGGAAAAGGGAGGAAATAATAAGATTTTGAACTACCCTTAATTCGGGAAATTCGACAGTGAAGAACCTTATGTTAAGGTAAAAAATGGTAAACTACCTAAAATGTTATCGAAGACACAGAAATTGTTATAACATTGTAACATTTTGAGTATATACCCAAAACGTTCTAAATTATTTTGTATATACATAAATTGCTACAAACTATACGAAAATTAATAACATTTTGGTATAAACAAAATGTTACAATGTTGTAACAATAAATGTATCTTTGATAACATTTTATGTACCTTTTGGTAATATTTTAGGTTGCTTATCATTTTTTTACCTTAAATTAAGTTTACTCACCCTAGAATTACCTCTTTAATTCATGCTGTTCTTTTGTAGTTGACCATTCAATGAAATTGTTATTCTTAAATCCCTTTCATTCCTTCTTCCTTTACCTGAACTGGTTGTAGAGCCTATGATCTGCCACCGACCTTAGAAATGTTTTTCTTTTTTGATAGAAATAGAGTAGGCCTCATTAAAAAACCCCTTCATAACCTCCATGTTACAACAGTAACGTGAAGGACATTGGAAGGAGGAAAAGAGTGCCTAAGAATTTATTAATATAAGAATAATACAAAGCCAGATCCTACAAACTTGTGAAACAACATAACACTTAAACAGCAAACTAACTACGCAAAAACAACCAACTCTGAAACATAACAACCTAACCCATATCCTATCAGCCTATTCCTTCTTTAGCTAATTTATCTGATTCCCAATTAGCAGGTCAAAAAATATGTCTAATGATAATGTCTTTACTATCTAGGGTTGTAATTTCTTTCACCAAAGACTGAAACATAGGAGTACATAGAGCTGGATTTTTAATCCACTTTAGTGAAGTAAGGGAATCCGATTCAAGGATAACCCTTGGCATAGGAACCAAAACTAATTCCTTCATAAGCAGCAGCCCTCTCTTGATAGCCATTAACTCTGTGAGAATAGGAGGACCTCTCCCTATCGTCTCTGAAAATGAACCCAGCAGCAGACCTTCAGAATCCCTTATCAGACCCCCTATGCCTCCTTTATCCCAATCCTTAGACATTGCACCATCAACATTTAATTTAACAAATCCTGAAGGAGGAGAAACCCAGCAGGATGATAAAGAACTACCCTTCTTCCTTCCCACATAATCTGCTAGTTTAACATCACACACTAGGGAATCAAAATTAATCTTCACATCTTTGAATCTTGCCACAAACCATGAAGCAATTCTAAACCGAAGAAGGAAAAACAAAAACGAACCATCCACCTTCCCTTTCGCAAAAACAATTTCATTTCTACACTTCCAAATCGACCACAACACCGCCCTTGGAATAAATTTCCATATAACGGAACTCGGAACTATACTATTCCAAGCCATGATGAAGGTCAACAACCTCTGCGGAAACATTCCAAGAAGACAAGAATCTACTCCACAAGCACCAAACCACCCCACAATGCAAGAAGAGATGATCAACCGACTCCACACACTTGCCCTTGGAAATGTTTTCTGACTTGAGGATTTTCTTCCAAAAGCTCCAATTTGATGTTTGTGCAAGCTGAATATAGATGCGTGCATGCACAAATTGTGACAATAATTCTGATTTTGTGCTGACTTATTTGATTCTTTTAGTTTACTTTAAAGAGGGGGGGGGGGAGAAATTTGGTATAAGAATCTAGTCCCCTAACTTGAGGACTCCTTCAAATATCATAAAAGACTCATATGAGACTGTCTGCATATGCATTTGGAGGATGGAGCTCAAGTGTCTTGTGCTTCTTGTTCAGTGGCCACGGGTAATAGTAGATTACCTAATAATTTCTAATTTGTATAGGTGGAGATCTTCCTTTTATCTACTATTGCAGTATAGGAGTTCTGAGAACCTCCATCTATTATAACCATTTCTTTGAATTTTAAAACTCCTCCCACAGTGCCCACCAGCTTTGGAAGAGAACGAGTCCATAATACCTCATGAAGGATCAGCCTCTGCAATGGCTGCAAGATTCCTGGTTAATTTGGATTTAGAAGTACCTGATACCTTTAGGCCACCTCCAGCACCTTTGCCTTATGATGTGATCTTGGGATGTCCACAATCAACTGATTCAGAATCCTTCAGAGAAAGTAGAGGCAGTTTCGAGACTCTGCCAACATGTGAAGATCTTGAGGAATCAGATTGCAAAATACAACCTAGCTCTTTGCTTCTTTCACCAAGAAAATCAGAAGTGTCAAAAGTAGCCGAGTCTAAGGAATCAACAACAGAAGAAGAGGATGCTTGTCCTATTTGTCTTGAAGGTAATGTAATCTCATTGTCTGAGGCTTCAATTGACTGTTAAGCTAGATCTGTACCCTGTACTGCTGTTAACTCATCAGTGTATTTGAGCATAACGTTAATCTCCTTGTTCATATATATGAACAGCTAATCAGTAATGGCTTGTATATGGTATTTGCACATGCAGAGTATGACACAGGGAATCCAAAACTCATTACCAAATGTGAACATCATTATCACCTCTCATGCATTTTGGAGTGGATGGAAAGAAGTGACACATGCCCTATGTGCGATCAGGTTTGCCTCTTTCAGGTTGACTTTATTATAGCTAATTATACTTAGGACAAGATTTGGACTTGGACTTTTTGGATCCAATTAATGTAACCAATAGTATTATGGACTCGAACTGTCATGCAGGTTGTGCAAGAACTTGGGCTTTACTTGAAGCCCCTGTATATACTATTACACCTATGAATCTGCTTTGTCTTTTATTCCCTGTGCCAAATCTTGTACTTTGCATCTCCTGGCCACTAAGTAGTGACATCTTCTGCCCTTTTTAATGTTACAGGAAATGATTTTTGACGAGACTTTTGATCAATAAAGCTCAGTATGCTGTAGATATATGTTAGTTTTTGGTTCTGCAGCAGGTCAGATGGTGTGCCTACAAGATTGAGTTTTACCGAATATCTAGTTATATAAAAGGTTACCATGTATTCAGGCTGTCAAATCTTTTATCCTATCCTTCAAGTTTATGACGTCTGAGGCGAGGGTAAAGAATCAAGTTGACACAATATGATAAACACAGGTTGGGACTTGGGGTGTTACTTCTTCTCTTCCGCAGTTAAATTTTCTGTTGTCAGTTTTCCGATTAGTGGTGAGGATGGCATAAACAATAAGGTCATTGGATGGATCAGATTCAGATCGAAATTATACGGAAGGGAAAGAACAATTGTAGTCCTGCCTTGCTTCAATCAATCGAGGTTTTACTTGTACAGGTTTTTATATCAGTTTCCTTTTGATTGTTTCTTACTATGTCATGTGATACGAATATTAGATCCGTCGAATTGTCTATGGTCGTCTGCTTTGTTGTTTTACCTGGTGGTTCAGCCTGATATAATCTATGATTCACGACATCCATTTGCTACATGTTACTTGTCTTCTTTTCCTTCTGCCTTATTAAATTCCATGCAACTCTTTTGATTTTGCATACACATTGGAGGCCCTTATTGTCTATCTTCTTAATTGTAATTAGACATTATAGAAATGGTTATGAGTCAAATTCAAAGAGTAGCTAGGTCCCTTCCTTTTGATACCATTTTCATAGCATCGTTTATTTATTTCATACTCCATTAAAATACACGGTGACAACTTGAATTAATGACCGTTGAATTTCTTAAAACCGAATCAATCTTCTTGAGATTTTGTTGTTTTTTTTGGAATCGATTATAAATTACAAAAAACATCATTTTCTGTTCATACAGCTTCAGTTTGAAAAATTGTAACACTGGTACACTCATAATAATCAGCAAGGAACACTGGTTGGGGAGACATGCACACAGAATGTGGGATCCAAAGCATTTCGGTCCAACCACCAAACTATGTACCTAGAGTTGAGCAAAATTTGACTAGATTTTTTTTTTCAATTTCGAGTTATTCGAGTTAACTCGAATTATCGAGTCGTTTTCGAGTTCGAGTCGAGCTGGAATTTGAAAAGTTCAAGTTACTCGAAAAATCGAAATTTGGCTAACTATTTCGACAGTTTTGCGATTTAGTCTTTGATTTCCTTTTTCCTTCAATTTCTTCTTCATTTTAAGTCTATTTTTTTACCGAGATTGAACCACATATGCTTTCAATTCCTCTTTGATAACAATTTTTTTAATTTTTTATTTTTTTATTTAGTCCCATAACTTTTCATGATTTCTTTATTTCATCAATTCATCCTTTATTTTAGGTCTATTTTTTACCAAATTTGAATCGCATGCTCTTATATCTATATAGGGTACCTATGTAACTTCAATTTTTAATTTTTTACTGAAAGTATACTCTCTTTTTATTTAGTCCCTTAGCTTTGTATTTTAATCAATTTGGCCTTTTAATTACAACTGTTTGCTAATTTTTTCTTCCCGTCAATTCCTCGACTCATTTATACTCTCATCGATACTTTACGTTCAAAATATCTTCTTTAAAATATAATATTAAAAATATATTTTATAATTTTAGATTGTATTTGATATATTAAATAACATTATGTTGTTTAATTCTATAAAGATATATCTTATATGGTTAGAGAAAATTGAAAAATTAAAATCAATCATTACCATAATATTATAAATAATTATAATAAAATTTGTATAGAAACTTGAATAACTTAACTTGAATTTCTTAAACTCGACTCAACTTGAAAAAAAATCAAGTTAAGTTTGAGTCATAAAATATGACTCGTTAACTCGAAATTTTTTTAGTCGATTCGATCGGATTCTCACCCCTATATGTACCATATTAGATACCCTCTTCCTTTTATATAAAATTTTGGATAAACTACTTATTTGGTATTTCATATGTTCTCATATTTTTATTTTAGTAACTTAATTATTGGTGAAGTCACATGATATAATAATAATTTTGGGTAAACTATACGGATGGTCCCCTATATTTTTTATTCGTCCAATTTTGATAAGCGGTTTGTAAAAAAGATTGATTTTGGTCCCTTACGTTATCAATTCGTTCGATAATACCCTTGATCGTTAACTCTCGTTAACTCATTAACAAAAGTCTCAGTTGGTAAATAGAAAAATAAAAAATTTTATTAAGAAGACACGTGGTTTTTTTACACGTGTTTTTTTTGGTTGCCAACTCAAACTTCTGTTAATGGGTTAACGGTGTTAACAACCGAGAGGTCAAAATCGAACGAACCGATACATAAAGAACCAAAACCACTTTTTTTAATTAGTGACCAAAATCAAACAAATTAAAAAATTAAGGGACTATCAGTATAGTTTACCCTAATAATTTTAGTCTCAAAACTTACATATTATATCAAATTGGTCCTAATTCGAAATAATTCAATAAAGCTTTGATATTTTTAAAATATATTGTTAAATTATTAAGGCTAAACTATGCGAATAGTCCTTTCTATTTTCAGTCTGACTGACTTTGGTCACCAATTTAAAAACTAAGGGGAAATGGTTCTTAACATTATTGATATGTTTGATTTTAGTCCCTAATATTATCGATCAGTTCGATTTTATACCTTAGCCTATTTTAAAACTAATAAAAATTCTCTTGTTGACCAGACGTGTCATTTAGGGTAAAAATGAATCTTGTTAGCAAAACATTTGAAAGTGTGACTGAGGACATGTAATACCCCAAATTTTGTCTAGCGACTAAAATGTAAGTTTTGAAAGTTTAGTGGCTAAAGTATAAACTTTGAAAAGTATAGGAACCGAAATTGTAATTTTTAAAAGATATATATTTTAGCCTGTAAATGAACAGTTTGGGTTAAAACGAAGATTTTAGTGGGAATCAGATTTTTGGTACGGGAATTTTGTTAAAAGATATAAATTAGTAAAGTTCGGTATTGAAATCGAATATTCAGATTGAATTGGAATTTTATGAAAATTTGAAGGATGCTATATGTAGACACCCATTTTCTTAAAAAAAAAATAGAACTAGCAAGAGTTCCTCTCCTAGGAGGACTCTTCCACCACCATATCTTTTAAAGCAACAACTACACCAAAAAACGTGCAACAACCGTGCAAGGAGTTTAGTTGCGTTAGGATTCTATTGTTAATAGGATTCTAAAAATAGTTAGTTTTTTTCATTATAAATACATGTAATCCTCCCCAATTGTAACAGGGGATTTACATACAAGATACAGAGGAAAGCACGAAAAAATACAAAGGCAAACCTATTGTAAACGATTCGAAAAGAAAATAAAAGGTAGCATCTTTTTTACATTGATTCGTTCATTTCTCGCATGTGCATGTTATTTTTCTTGAGATTTGGTTTGAATAACCCAAAGCGTGGGTTGTGCCGATGACTAAAAAGGGGTGGGGTTTCGAAGTTTCGAACCTAAATCTACTCCCGAGGCATGTTCATTTTTTTGAAAGTATTTAATATTCCCCCTAAGTAAATCTTAATCTTTAATTTACCTTGAAATTTACCCTTTAATTTTACTTTTATATTAATTTCGTCCCTTATATATATATATATTATATTATTTTTTTAATTTTACTTTTATATTAATTTCGTCCCTTGAAATTTCTTTTACCTTTTTTTTATTTTTTTACTCCATTAATTTTTTCCCTCTATATGTGTCTTTGTTTTTTAACATTTTATTCATTTTGTTTATTTTTATTATTATTTTATTATTTTTTTACGTATTTTGTTATTTTTCATTTTTTCTTGTTTTATTTATTATTCTCACGTTTGCACACTTGCTATCCTAATTCAATTTTATACTTCGCTATGAATCTAACGTTTTTATCTTTTAAGGGTATTCAAATCAATCAATTGTAAGTAATTTGAATCTGGTCTGTTAAATTTAAATTTAAATTTCAAATTTTCGCAACTAAGACAATCGGCAAATTAATTGGTACCGAAAGGGCGGTTCAAGGGTGCTAATCCTTTCTTGACCGTAATCGACTCCCGAACCCGACACATTTCTGGTAAAAACACATATTAGGTAAGATGGTGTCCGACCCACCTAAATTCATTTTAAAATGGTCGGTGGCGACTTCAATCCATATTTTTCAAGTCGAAGCCTAATTTCGGGGCCCAACCGAAAGACAGTTACGACAGCTTGGCGACTCCGCTGGGGAAAGGTAAGTGAGTCAAACCATAATTAATTTTCGGTTGTCTTTTATGTGAAAATAGTAAATTTAAATTTAAATTTATTTATTTGATCCAAATTATTTACCTTTGATTATTTTTCGATTAAATAGTTGTACTGACTGTTTTTTAATGATTTCAGCCCTTAAAGATTTTTCATCTAAGGCTCTAAACCCGAGCTCTGAACCCGTTTTAAGTGGGGGTGAAAGCGACGTCTTCGTGTGAATTTATTCACCGTATGGGCCTAGCAAGTAACCTTCGGGATTCATATATCTTTTGCCTTCGTGTGAATTTATTCTCCGTATGGGCATAAGGGAATGTGTCCTCTCGAGTTTAACTTAGTCCACACAAGCCTGTGATGGGTTTAGGACTAAGGGTCTGGCAAGCCCAACAGGGCATAAGGGTCTGGCAAGCCCAACAGGGCACCGGCAAGGAGAACTCGGGTACCGTTTTTTAGAACCTAAACCGGGAGGCTATGGAGAATTAGAGCCCACCCCAAAACCTCATTCCAAACCCTATGCTACTTTGTTTCATGCTTTACTTTCTGTTCAAAGTATGCGAACTAGACAAATATGCGGTTAGGATTTGTGTGGAATTAGCATGCAAGATAGAGATCATGTCCGGGTAGGAATTAAAACATGTGAGGTAGATATCATGTGGGGTAGAACTTTTATTATCATGATTGTTTTTTATTATTTTTACCTCACTAACTATTTTTATTTTTTGTTCTCTTTTATTTTGTTTTCATCATTTGCATCATTTAAAAGAGGTGTTGATCCACAAAAAAAAAACGTGTTCGTTAACCTAAATAATTTGCATTAATGGACAAAGGGGTTGTAATACAAGAGGTGAAAAATGCAGGGGTCCGACTATGGTCAGAAAAGACTCAGAAAGAAAAGGAGGACAATCTGCAAGGCAACTATCTGTCACATTCGATCAAGAAGACGTGGTGCCCACAATCAAATACATCAAAAGTTAACTTTTCAAAAATGGGTTGACAAAGGTGGTAGGGACAAGACGAGAAAAAGATTACTAACCTCGAGAATCCATTCAAAGACAACAAGACAAGATGGCAAGTCATTGTCGACAAATTCAAGAAACAAGCAAATGAACTTCGAATAATCCCTTTGATGGAGGATTTCAATGGAGTTTCCGATTCAGCAAAGGATGAAAGCCAAAGATGCAGTCATTCGATACTTTTGGGAACCAGTACAAAAAACAACTCAACATTTTCATGGTTCATCCAGAGAGGTCGGAGCGGTTTAACAGGTTATTCAATCGGCGAAAGACGAAGACAAATGACTAGTCAACCTGTT